AGAGGCATCTAAATTGGAAAGGAAGAAGTCAAACTGTCTCTGTTTGTAGATGATATGATCTTATACATAGAAAACTATGATGACTATACCAAAAAAACTATTAGAATAAACACATTCACTAAAGTTGCAGGATACAAAATCAACATACAAAAATCAGCTGCATTCCTATACACTAACAAAGAATTATCCAAAAAAATTAATCTGATTAACAATAACATGAAAAAATAAATTTTTTTTTTTTTTTTTTTGAGACGGAGTTTCGCTCTTGTTACCCAGGCTGGAGTGCAATGGCGCGATCTTGGCTCACCGCAACCTCCAGCTCCTGGGTTCAGGCAATTCTCCTGCCTCAGTCTCCTGAGTAGCTGGGATTACAGGCATGTGCCACCATGCCCAGCTAATTTTTTGTATTTTTAGTAGAGACGGGGTTTCACCATGTTGACCAGGATGGTCTCGATCTCTTGACCTCGTGATCCACCCGCCTCGGCCTCCCAAAGTGCTGGGATTACAGGCTTGAGCCACCGCGCCCGGCCAAAATATTTTGATAGGAATAAAATTTATTCCTATAAATTTAACCAAAGAGGTAAAAGATCTGTATAATGAAAACTATAAAACATTGATGAAAGAAACTGAAGGATGCACAAATAAAGGGATATATCCCATATGACCTAAAGCAATCAACAGGTTCAAGGCAATCCTTATCAAAATTCCAATGGCATTTTTCACAGAAATATACAAAAATCCTAAAATTCATATGATACAAAAGATCCCAAATAGAACAATCCTGAGCAAAAAGAACAAAGCTAGAGGCATCACACTATCTGATTTCAAAACATACTACAAAGCTATAATTTTCAAAACAGTACATACTGGCATAAAAACAAACATATAAACCAATGGAATAAAATAGAAAGTCCAGAAATAAATCTATGCATTGACAGTTAACTGATCTTCAACAAAGGTGCCAAGAACACATAAAGGGGAAAGAACAGTCTCTTCAATAAATGGTGTTAGAAAAACTGGATACACATATGCGGAAGTAAAAATTGATCCCTTATCTCACACCATATACAAAATACTTGGCCCTTTTCTCAGATAATATACAAAAATCAACTCAAAATGGATTAAGAACTTAAACATAATATAATGTACAGCATGGTGGCTATAGGTAATATTACTGAATTGTATATTTGAAATCTGCTAAGACAATAGATCATTCATATTCTCTTCACGCAAAAAAGGGAACTGTGTGAGGTGACGGATATGTTAATTAGCTTGATCTCAGTAATCATCTCACAATGTATACATGTATCAGAACATCATATTGTATTCTACAAACAGATACAACTTTCAGCTGTCACTTATGCCTCAATAAAGTTAGAAAAAATTTAAAAATCATGTTCGTTTATGTATGGAATGTCTCTGGAGGATGACACAAAAACTGAGTAACAATAGGTAGCAGTGCAAAGGGAACCTGGTGGGCTAAAGGACCTGGGTGTAAATGAAACTTTCTTCTCACTGCATGTTTGCTCCTTCTGAAGGCTGTGCCATGTGCATCTATTAACTATTTAAAAACTGAATAAACAGAACTCCTTGCCTAAAAGTAAACTTTGCCCTAAAATACAAATGGACTGCAGCTGATCTTGCAATCTTGGGGAGTGCAAAGTTTTTATTTATCAAGGTATTGCTCTGTTTAAGGCAACATCCTGATATGACTCTTTTAAGGTAAAATAATAATAATAAGCCTGTGGAGATGTTCTAAAAGGATGGGAAAGGTTTAATTTTTCTGTATATAACAAAGGGACAATTTTGTGCTTCTGAGGATGCACAAAAATCCTGCACAAAAATCCTGGAAAGATGGTAAGTGACATGGAATAGAGAGAAAGGGCCTGGGAGAAAGAGGCGCTAGTCACATACAAGAGGCCTGACCCTAATGAGAGCACCGCCAGGGAAAACTTCTCTGTAGCAAATAGAACCCCAAAAATTTCCAGAAACAGTGCTATCCCAACCTTATCTCCTACTATGTGCCACAATTACCACCCAGCCCCCTTCACTACACCTTCAGCTGGCAATACAAGTCAATATGTAACAACATGGTGTTGGGCTTTGGAGAAATGAAGGGGGTGTCCCGAGTGGGGCCACGCAGGCTGCCAAGAGGAAGAATAGCAGGCAGGAGAGCCAAGACATGGTCACAGTAGGGAACTGTGGTGCGCTGGGTGCAGGGCAGCCTGATTGGGAAACATGCCCCCTGCAGTCCCATGGAAATAGTGAGGGGCAGAGGGGCCTAGGGAGAAACTGAACATGGTATATGGATTCATAATATTTCATTTGGATATCATGATCCCTGAAGCCTAGAGGGTTTGGGTCATCTGCTCCATCCCTACTCATTTGGAAGGTAAGTTTAGGACCTCCAGTCTCTTCTCTTCGCACTATTTTTCCCCCTCCAGCTTATTTTGTTGTTGTTGTTGTTGTTTGCTCTTTTTTTAGACAGAGTTTCGCTCTTGCTGACCAGGCTGGAGTGCAATGGTGTGATCTCGGCTCACTACAACCTCTGCCTCCTGGGTTGAAGTGATTCTCTAAGGGAATACAGGCGCCTACCACCACGCCCAGTTAATTTTTTGTATTTTCAGTAGAGACGAGGTTTCACCATGTTGGCCAGGCTTGTCTTGAACTTCTGACTTCAAGTGATCCACCCGCCTCAGCCTCCCAAAGCGCTGGGATTATAGGCAGGAGCCATCGCACCTGACCTCTGCTTATTCTTTTTAAGAGGAATTAGCTAAGCATCTAAAACATTTTAGATGTTGATTCAGCTGAAGGCAAAGACAAAGACCAGTGCCCAAATAAGCTCACATCTTCCTCTAACACCCAAGAGAGCCTTGCCTCCCCTACTCCTCCCTCCCATTAGGTAAATAAAGAAGGTCAAAGGTGATCCAGTCCCAACCACACCCAACTCAAGTCAGAGTGCTTTTCTCCATTCTGGTCTGTAAGTCCCTCCAGCATAACCAAGTCCTTAAACTCGAACTTTTTCTCAACCTTAGACCTCACCCCTTCATTGCTCATCCCTGCCCAAACTCAGCTACAATCCAGTGTGGAGCTCACACACTGACCAAAACACAGACAACAGACAAGAACAGGCTCCTGAGCAGATGTGAAATCAACTCAAACACAACACTACACTACAGAAATGTCTCCCTGCTCAACAAAGGAAAATACTAATCTTCAGTGTTCTCCCTCTGAATCCACTTTTCGGCTACCCCTTTGCTAAATTTTCCTTCGTCTAGAATGTTGTTTCCTACAATAAATCCATATAGATCCAGCCCCTCAGAGCCAACAGCCCCTTCTTGCCACATATACACACCTTCCAAAGTCCAGTCCCTCCTCTGCCAAAGAAAGGCGGGGCCCCTGGACGTGACAAAGATGGCTGTGTTTCCTCAAACCCGACAGCCCAGTCCCATGACCCAATAAGCACTGACGCTCCCTTACAGGACACAGCCTTCTCAAACCCACATCCGGCTCCCACCAGCTACTCAGGGCAACCACAAGCCCGCGTCCCGATGCCCTGAGCCCCTGGGGGCCAGTCACACAGGAGGAAATCCTCTCACACCCAGGAAAGGGAGCTTTTGCCCGAGTCTGCTCTGGGAAGCTGGAGCGTTTCAGGCTGTGCACTCAGTCCTCTTTTTAGATATTGGAACCAAAAAACCAGCCTCATTTCTTTAGAGTCAGCATGTATTTACGTGGCTTTTGCTCATCGCTTGCACTACTTTGCAACTTGTCCGTTTCCACCTCTCCCAGATGCACACAACCCTTTAGGGGTAAGGAAGAATACACAGACAGCCGCCACTCTCCTTCCACCACAACCCTCAGGATGCCGCTTTCCAGGAGACAGCGCAGCTCCATGTGGCCACGTGCTCCTGACTGAGCAGCATCGGAGGAGTTCTGCTGGCTGACCTCAAACAAATCCTCTTCTCCCTCTCTGGTGCCTTCATACCCTGAGTTGTGTTCATTTTCCTTCACATTCCTAATTCCCAGGTATCATGACTCAGTGGTGGGAAATGAAGACTCGGAGGTCGACAGGCAGGAAAGTGCCTGGGCCCTGGAATGGAATTCAAGTTCTTCATCTCTCCTTTGATCCCAGGACAGTCTGTCCCACTCAGAAGGCAGCACAGCTATCAAGGAGGAAAAAACCCTGGGTGGCACCAGCCTGTTAGGAGGAAATGCAATGGCCTTGCCTGACGCCTGACTCCTGCTCTTATCCCACCAACACCTGCTTTCCAAGTACGTCTTATTTCTCTCCTCCAAGCCCCCAAACCAGGCACAAGGCATAACCTTTTAGGGAGAAAGGAAATAATCACCTATATTCTCCACCGGAATAATATACAAGATCACACTTACCTTTGCCAAGACTGGAACAGTTGTCAGAGGATATCCCTCCCATCCACCCCAAGCCAACAGTTTAAATTGCTTTGAAACACCATCTGGGAGAAATTATCGTCACAAATATTTAAAGCTCCAATTCATAAAAAGGCAAAAGAAAGAAAACACACACATACACACACCCTACTTGTGACTCAATGAGTGCTTTGGGACACGCGTTTATCCAAAAAAAAAAAAAAAAAAGCACACCTAGACACCCCAAAACACTCTTGCAGGTTCCATCTCATTCCTTCCCCAAGAGTGTTCTGACCTGTCTGCACAGGTATCTGTGAGAAATGAAGAAAACACAGTGAAAATATGACGGCCCTCTCATAGGAAATTGTGTGAAATGAATGAGGCTCCAAATGCTGGCTGCCTCTTCAGCAGCACACACACAAAAAAAGTCAGCCAAGGAATCACCGGACACAGTCACACCTTTGTGGTGTGATTCCGTGCATTTCAGAGCCTTGTGCTGAATAAAAGGACACCCTATGTAGAGCTGGAACATTTGACTTTTATCTGCCGGCCCTCAAGTACCCAGGAGGATTGGGCCTCCCAGGCCTGGCCTACATCTTGTGAAGGTTACATACCTCAGGAGGTTAAAGCTCAGATCAAGCCTCTTTGCGAAATGTCCACAGTCCCTGCCAAGGTGCTCTGGAATTTCTCTGCAGTCCTGGCCTATGTAGGACACCTGGAAATTAAATGGAACAGAAACAATGTGGTAAACGGAAACCACCCAGCTGCTCCCAACCCTGAAATTACCGATCCAGTGATCGCTTCCGCAACTTGAAACGCATGTTTCTCACACACAGAAAGGCCACATTTGTGACTGTTTTCCTGATCAAATCAGCTTTGGGGGCTCCAAGGACTCCACCAACAGCTCCCCTTTCCTGGTGCAGTTAACATGATGGAGACTAATCCCAGGACAATGGAAATTGGACTAAAATGGGCCAGATTCAGGTGTCCGAAAGAAACTTGATTATCAGGGCATGTTGATATAACCGCAACAATCATCCTCTCACTCAGGGGCCTTTGCAACAGCTGTCCCTCCGCCCCTTCTTCTCCCTCTCCTCCACCCCCCCACCCAGTACCCTGGTATGCACATTACTCCATAAAAGACACAGCAGATTCACCTACCAGCTTTCAACTTTTAGGGTGCTGGAAAAAACAGGGTTGGAAAAGAAAACCTCCCCAGACCAACAATCCCATCCAATTGCCACTGTATACAAAATGCCCTCCATACCCAAACAAAGCTGATCTGAAGGCAATTAGGGCAACAATGTGTGGTCCTCCTCCAGAAGACCTCTGGCAACCAGTCCCACTCTGCGCACAAAGCTGTTCCTTAGGCATTCTTCTGTTTAGTTCAGGTTATTAAGTACCCGTATGTGCCCAAATATTAAAAGGCTCAACTGAACTGAATCTGAACTGATTCCAGAACTGATGCCTGGGAGGTCAGTGGGCTTTCTCACTACCCTAATCACTCAGTTTTTGGAACCCATTTTTACAGACAGCAATCTGTGGGCAGACTAGCAACTAATCCCTAAACCATAAAACAAATCCACGGGACCAGCTGACCAATGGGCCACAGTGCATGCTGTTTCCCTAAAATACAACATGCTCAACCCCCAGGTAGAAATTCAAGCCCAACACACGGCTACAACCTTCTTCTGGTTTCCCTACAAATCACATTCTTCCACACATACAGACACAGAGGTCTTAGAATGAGAGAGAGAGAGATTCCCCAGGAGGGTGTTTCCTCAGGGAAACAAGACTATGGCGGCCGTCTTAGATCCTCAGACACTAGGTTCACCCATGTGAACTACCAATATCCAACCTTTTTTTTTTTTTTTTTTTTTTTTTGAGACGGAGTTTCGCCCTTGTTACCCAGGCTGGAGTGCAATGGCGCGATCTCGGCTCACCGCAACCTCCGCCTCCTGGGCTCAGGCAATTCTCCTGCCTCAGCCTCCTGAGTAGCTGGGATTACAGGCACGTGCCACCATGCCCAGCTAATTTTTTGCACTTTTAGTAGAGACAGGGTTTCACCATGTTGACCAGGATGGTCTCGATCTCTCGACCTCGTGATCCACCCGCCTCGGCCTCCCAAAGGGCTGGGATATCCAACCATTTTAGAACCACAAAATAGCCTTTCACATGGTTCAACCTAATACAAGCCACACTGAACACTGACACCCTCAACATCTCCAGTCATCTCTCAACCTTCTTCTATCCATGAGTACAAACTGCCGACGATGCAATCTCCTGTATCCACTCTCCTCCAGTCGCTTCATTCTAGGAGGAGAGAAAATAAGGAGAAAGGACAGAAACATAGTTGACAGCAACAAAGTAATTTTGACTCAAGAAGTTACAGGCTAAAAAATAAAGGACTCTAAGCTCAATCTAGCAATCTCCCTCTTTCTACCTGGTACCCATCTTTCGCCTCAGTTCCTCCAGAATTAAGTTCTGCTTCCAAGCTAAAACAGAAATCATAGGCCAAAGAGAGACTGAGGATATAAGGCCCAAGTCTATCTGGGGACTTCGATTTCCCTCAGGATCTCTGCTCAATCAGCAGCTTCTTCTGTATTGTTCATTCACAATGAACCCCAGGCTCATGGTGCTCACCAGAAAATCCATCCCATTCACCCCGGCCTGCATCACTATCCTGTATGTATTATCAATCAAGACTTCTGTAATATATATAGCAGAGATGTTGTGTTTTAGATGCAGAAACTGAGCTCCTTCTTCTTGGAATGACCAAGGACTAAATCTAGCAGAGACCCAGCTTGTCAAAACTTATATTTTATACAAGGAAACTAAGACTCCAGAGGCCTGCCCAGCACAACACAGCTTCTTAGTGATAGAGCTCAGATCAAGTCCTATACCATAAGTAAGGGCTTCAAACTTGGGGGCCGTGGAGTGCTTACAAATCCACATGTGGGTGTGGGATTTCTCTCTCTCTCTTTTTTTTAAGAGATGGGGTCTCACTGTGTTGCTCAGGCTGATCTCGAACTCTAGACTCAAGCAATCCCCCTGCCTCAGCCTCCCAAAGTAGCTGAAATTGCAGGTAAAGCCACCATGTCAGGCAGACACAGGTTTTCTTTCTTTTTTCATTCTTTCTTCCCCCCCGCCCCCCTGCCAAGACAACATCTCACTCTGTCGCCCAGGCTGGAATACAATGGCGTGGTCTCAGCTCACTGCAACCACCGTCTCCCAGGTTCAGGTGATTCTCCTGCCTCAGCCTTTCAAGCAGCTGGAATTACAGATGCCCGCCAACATGCCTGGCTAATTTTTATATTTTTAGTAGAGATGGGGTTTCACCATATTGGCCTGGCTGGTCTCAAACTCCTGACCTTGTGATGTGCCCACCTCAGCCTCCCAAAGTGCTAGGATTACAGGCATAAGCCACTGCACCCCATCAAGTTTTCTTGATCAACAAATGCCAATGGTGCATCTATCATCATGTTTTGGCTTCAAAATGAGTCTTCTGAACTGAAAGGGCAAGAACTTCTTTCATGGTGTTACGCTGAGGACCCAAGAAGAGTGTTAGAGCCTGGGAAAAGAGAGGGGTATTGGCTTCCCTTTTCCTTCTGTAGGAGTCCCCTTCAGAGAGGAAACAGGAGCACCAAGGAGAGCTATCATCACGAAGCATTTGGATCACTCACAACATCTGATGAGACTTTCAGCAGCCTGTTTCATTACATGGTCTTAACTATACAACATCCCAGGAAGACTAAGAAAAATACAACTTGTTCTCATTCCACAAAGATGAAGACCAAGTCTCAAAAGTTTAGCACGAGGACCAACCTGATAAGTAATCTGCATGCTTAGACAACCCCTGTGGTAAACTAGAAGCTTTCAGAGATGTGAATTAAGCCGACCAGGCTGAAGGGCTCAAATCGGCTGGAAAAGTCTTAAAAGCAGCAAGCAGCCACTGCCAGGCATTGCAGGCAACACTCAAAACTAGAAAAAAAAAAAAAGACTTAAGAAGTACTTCTGAGGGAAGACATCACCTCTCAGGATGTCAGGAAGCTTCTTAGAGCAAGGACCACCTACTGTAAGATTCAAGGCCAGAAGAGCCAAACCAAAAATAGTTTGCTTCTTCAGCAAAAGGGAGACGGGGTATAGAGATTAATAGATCTTAAATGGCACAGGAGCAAGAGCTATCTAGAGCACCATTGCATTACCTTTATTTAGACTGCCTTGAGGAACAAAGAATTGAACTTATAATTTCTCTATTTTCTATAATTTGTACCCTAAGACTTCTACCCTGTGTGGAATGATAACAGGAAGGGACACCACTGCCCAGCAAATGAAAATAAGTTAAAGACCCCCACAGAAAGGAAAACTACAAAGGGAAAGGAGTGTGTCTGGAAGGGGTCCTCACCCATATACACACTCAATCCCTCTGAGCAGAAGCTGCGGAAAATGACCAAACCGCAGAAGACTGCAGCTTTCATTTTGCGCTGGGACTCTCTGGCTCCCAGGGCACTTCTGGAGATGATGAGCTTGTCAGCAGCGAGATGTTGAGATTATATTATGATGCCTGCTCCTAACCAGGGGTGGGAGATCCTCCATTTTAAATCTGTAATACTGAGCTGGGCATAGTGGCACACACCTGTACTCACAGCTACTCAGGAGGCTGGGACGGGAAGACTGCTTGAACTCAGGAGTTCAAGGCTGCATTGAGCTGTGATCACGTCACTGCATGTCAGCCAGGGCAACAGAGCAAGACCTTATCATTCATTCATAAATAAATAAGTGAATGTGTGGTACTGGAAGCTGTCAGAGCAGAAACAGCCATAGGTCCAAGTCTGATTCCTGGTACTGCTACAACTAGCTGTGTTGTCATGGATGAGTCACTATCTTCAAGTCTGTTTCCTCTTCTGCAACTGGATTAACACTAACTGCCTCCAAAGGTGTTAAGAATAAAATAAAAAAACAACATTTATTAAATGCCTATCATGGCCTTTTTATCTATTCAATCCTCATGAACAGCCCCATGTGTATTATTGTGCCTATTGTACTTACAGGAATGTGATGAGCTAACATATTAAAAGCACACAACACCGTCCTTGGCACCCAGTGGTCACTCTGTTAAACAGCTGTTGAATCATACTACTATCCCCACAGAAGGGATTCGTTATTCCAGTATCTCTTGGGTCCAAGATTTCAGTGCCCAAATTCCAAGTTTCTATTTGTGTCTACAATCGTATTGTCATGAGCTAGAGGAAAAAGAAGAAAAACGACTTAATGCTGAACATAAATGATGCACTCAAGCCAAGAGAAGCCAAATGAAGTCAGATCCGTGGCAAATGAAAAGACTTTTATAGAGAAAAGCAATAGGGAGACTGCACCATCACCAAGCATGGGGCATCACAGGCCTGCAGAGCTCCTAAAAACCAACTCCACAGCAGTCAGCCCACAGTGGCATTAAAAGCAGTGACCTAACTTCAGGTGAAGCAGCATTCATCTCATTAAATTGTTTAATTGTATAGGGTTTTTTCCTTTGCACTTAAACCATCCCTTTATTGGGGATTTTTAGGTCTCTAGATATGGAAAAGTTGTATCTGGCTTTATGTTTTTATATTTGAGTAACATTGTACTAAAAACTATATTCATACTATGGGCTCATGGGAAGTTAAAGAAGAATCTACTAAAGACTGACAAGCACTGTTCCATGCTACCCACATTCAAGGTGCTACCTCTTATAATGGCGCAGCCATTAGAAATCGCTGGGAGCAGAATACCAAAAACAACACCACACAAATCCACTAACCTGGGCAGTTTGGGAAACAGAGCACTAAGACTCCAGGGGAATTTTCCCAACCTACCTTCTTAGCTCCTCCTCAGGCAACTCCATCCTTCTAAAATGGTCCCCAAGGGCCTAAAATGTCTCACCACTTCCATGAATGCCCTTGGGCTATCTGGAGTAGGCTAAGAACAGGGGTGCAGTAAAGATCAAATCTAGGAAACAGAAGAGCAAAGGGAAAGGAAGCACAGGAAAGCGCTCAGCACCGTGAACTTGCAGCAAGGTACACCTGGAGAATATCACATCTGAAAATGCAGAGACCTAGGGTCTGGGGGGCAGGGAACTCTCCTTCTTAGGCAGATACTCCTAGAGAAAGAAGAGGCCCTCTTGTCCAGCCGCTCCATCTAGGCAGTAATATTAACTCCCAGGGAAAAAAAAAAAGCCCCTTTCCCCGCTGGCTGAACAAGACTGGTCATTTTTAATATCTCAGCAAGCTGGTAGCTCCCTGGTCTGCTCACTTGTGAACTCTGGTCTTTCTCCAGCTCTCTCCTCCCAGGCTATGGGTCAAGGGACAGAGCCAGCATTGCTAGGCAACTGTTAAATGAGGGGTGTGCAGAGATAATGGAAAGTCTAATTTCCAACAATGCCTGGCATGGCGCCTGGCACACAGTAGGCACTCAATAAATATATGTACCTGATGAAACGACAGAACTCTGGAAAAGAAAACAGGCAGCGGCCAGTTTAATGGGCAGCACAGTTGGCCCTCACTGCATCTGTAGGAGCTATGAAAGCCCCCAAAACCTTCTCCAGGGAGGAATCATTCCCTTCCGCCCAAAGTAATCCCGAAATCCCATTATGCCTGACACTACCTGCCTTAGACAGTCCAGGAGGAGAGCTTCAAAAACTCAGAACTTTGTCTCCAGGGTGTGCAGGGGAAGGTGGGAAGTAAGAGGGCTCTGGCTTCATCAGAGAGTAGAGAAAAAGTTCAAGACAGAGACCTGGCTTTTCCCGCAAGTAAGACACCTGGTCCCAGCGTGGCTGAGTTCATCCCTCCAGCAATGACTTTAAATACGTGAGGCTTCACTACAGCGATGAAAGCACGTGAGGCTGGGTGTCTGGCACCCAGGGTTGAAACTGGAGTGTTCATCAGACCCCTGTTCAAGAAATCGGGTGTGGAAACAGAACCGGAGGTCGGTGGCCTTCCACCAGCCTTTGGTAAGGAGCCTAGGGCTATGGCGTGGCCCATCCAGCGCAGGGCCCACCAGCACCCACGTCTCCAGAGATGTGCTGGGACACTTCGGTGGCCCTAGGCACTTTTGCCTTCGTAAGCCCCTTCCTCCACTTACAACTAAGTAAATTTGTATGTTACAACTGCATTGGTATAAAGATGACTATCAGTGTGATTTATCAAAATGGATTCTTCGACCAAGTTTTTAAAACTCAGATTATGAAATTGGAATATTTTGTGTGGGCCCCCAAAAGTACCAGGGCCCTCAGCATTGTGCCCACTGGGCCTGCTCAGTGAGGCGCTAAGGGGAGAGGGAGCTCGAAGGATCGCGGGGGTGTTCTTCCCGCACAGCCGGGGGTCTGTCTTCGACACACTAGGGCGAGCCTGAGCACCTGACACCCGCTGTAGATGCAGCCCCCTGAGGCAGGGACAGGGGTGTCTAGGCCCTGGGGAGCCCCTGAGCCCCGCCGTCCCTCCCCACACGTTCTGCACCCGGGGCGGAGGCGGGGCTGGCCGGGACTTACTTGAGTTCCACTGACCACGAGCCCGGCCATGGCGGCCAGGACGCGGGCGCGCGGCACGGAGCGCGGGGGCGCGGCGGCGGCGGCGGCTGGGAGCGCTGCAGGAGAGCGCGGCGGGCGTGCAGTTCCGCGCTGGGCAGTCAGCTGACCTGGCGGAAGCCGGAGGAGCTGGCCGGCCGCGGGAACTTCAGCTCCGCCGCGCGCTGCAGCCGCCGCCCCTCGGCCCGGCCCCCGCGCGAGGGAGCTACGGCCGCCCGCGGCAACAGGTGGCCGTCGGCGCCGTGCGCCACGACGGCTGCCCGGCTCCCCGCGCCGCTCTCTCCCCCGGGTGTCCGCGGGCCCAACACTCCATGCCCACAACTTGATCGCGTTGGTCTGGGCCAAGCCCGGGGTGGGGGGATTCCTATCAGGCTATCAGGGGCGCTCCATCTGAGCCGTTAGCGGTAGCCAGCCGGGCCTTTCCTGCATTTCACAATCTGCGTTACGTAAGGGCCCTCAGCTGCAGCGACGAGGAGCCGCTGGAGAGGGGGAAAGTCAGAAGGTTGAAGGACTCCGGGTGGGGCAGAGTTTCCATTTGTAGGAGGGGAGAAGGACTGGCGGGGGGTTGAATTTCCCTATAAATAAAACGCTAGCTTGGCTAAAAGCATCCCACCCTTTCCCTGTGGACTCTAGGAATTGACAATAATAAACACTGGGGAAGGATAATTGGCTGGTGACCCCAAATATCGAGCTTCTCTTATTCTCCTGCTCCTCAGAGGGAGAAATTTGTGAGGCTTAAAGTCATCAGTGGCATCATTCGCTGTTCCCCACCCACTGCATCCCCATCTGGAAGAGGTGGTCATGGGCCTCCTGTCTGGATGAAAGGAGGCCCAGTGGGCAGGTAACTCCCTAAACCCATGCCTGTTCTTCTCTGGAAGGATCCAGATTTTCTCCTCGCCTATTCTTGCCTCCAAGCCCAGGATGAACTACCTGATATCAGCTGGTTGTCATCTTCCACTCCTACTGCAGCTGAGAGCCAGCCCAGCCTTACCTAGCCTCTCTACCCTCCTACTTTAATTCCAGTGGGTATAGGCACCTCTCAAACAGAGAAGGGAAAATTGAGTCCTGACATGCTGGATCCTGATCTCACACACACTGCAGGTGCCTCAACTCGGTAGGCCTATTCGTAATTGCAGTTCCCCACCTCCACAGGGGGCGATATTCACAGGGCTTTGAATTCACTTTCCCCGGCGTCTGGCACTTAGAAGCCCCTGGTTCTGCAGCTGATGATGACAGTCATGATCGTGGTTAAACATTTTGTGGCTGGCATCGTCTCTCAGACAGCGCTGGTCCTAACACATTGTTAGGTGGGCCCTTGTCAGCATTCTGATGAGCATTGTTGATCTCGGAGAGTTGACCTTCCTGCCCTCTCTCAGCTGGGAGGAGCAGATTCTGTAGAGTGGAGCAGTAAGAATGCAGTCTTGACTGTGTTTACTTTGGGGGATTCCAGGAAATGCTGCAAGGAAAGGTCCTACAGGCCAAAAAAGAAAGCTTACCTTCCACAGATAAGGGGATCAAAGGGAACCTTCCCAGGCCTGCTGCCCCAAGGACCAGCTCCCCCACCGCCTCCTCCCTCCTTCTCTGCTGGACGCACCCTCTCTGGTCCATTGTCCACTTTTGTCTGCTTTTCCTGCCTGAAAAAGAGGAAGTGGGCCGGGGGCCCAGCCAGCAGCTCTGCCCTCAGAACCTTTCAGTTCAGCTTTCCTAGAAGGGCTTTGACAGATAGAAGCGGACTTGCAGAAACAGGCCCAAGTCTACTCAAAGGTGAAATTGGAGACTGGGTCTCCCTTCCCCGACCAGAAGGGGGTTAGTGAAGGTCATCTCATCCATCCCCCTGCCTCCATACACAGCTGGGTTGTCTGCGTGTAAGCTGTTCTGCAGAAACTACCAATGTCACCAAAGTGGGCCGGCATCTTTCCCCCGTTCCACACCCTCTCCATACTGTTGCCTCCTCCACATAGCCCCAGGGCAACCATTTTAAAAGGCCAATTTGATCCGACCTAAAATCTTTCAATGGCTCCTAATCAACTAATGATTAATACAGTCCAGAATCTCTAGTATATCTCTGAAGATCTCTTATAGTCCCATCAAGCCTTACCTCTTCAGCCACCTCTCCCACCTCTCCTGTCCTCTAGCTGGCTCTACAGAAGCTGTTAGTTTAGGCTGGAAATGCTTCCCCACCCACTGCTGTGTCTGCTCGGTGAACACATCAAGAAGACCAGTTGACAGTTCGGGGAAGGATCATCTGCAGAGGTCACAAAAATTAAGATCAGGATAGCTCTGTTTGAGGGGGGCTTTAGTGTTGGAACTATAAACTGATAATAATAGCTATTGAAAGTTCTTGAGCAGAGTAGTTGTCTACTAGGGCTGCTGTAACAAAATGCCTAACAAGCTGGGTGCTTATAAACAATAGAAATTTATTTTTCACAGTTCTGGAGGCTGGGAAGCCAAAGATCACTGCACTCACAATTTGGTGTGTGATGAGGGCCCATTTTCTGGTTCCTACCTAGACAATGGCCTTGTTGCTGTGTCCTCAGATGGCAGAAGGGACAAGCTAGCTCTTGCGGGCCTCATTCATAATCGTACTAATCCCATTCCTGAGGGCTCCACACCAATGATCTAATCACATCCGCCCCAAGGCTCTACCGCCTAAGACCTTAAAGGTTATGATTTCAACATGTGAATTTGGGAGGGACACAAACATTCAGACTGTAACAGAAGTAATTTCCTAAATGTTACTGGGGGAAGGGCACCAGCAGGAACAAACTGAATTTACCTGTCCTTACTCCTCAGCTTTTGGAATTAGTCTTCAGAATAGAAGAACAAGGAGAAAGACGAGGAAAAAGGGGAATAGAAGGAACAGAAGGAGGAATTGGGGGAAACAGAGAGAGGAAAAATGGAAAAGAAAAAAAATCTGTGTCCCTGGACCAAGGAAGATTGGAAGCCGGGAGGGGGACATCGTTCTACCTCCTCATCACCATTTGGAACAAAAAGGAACATTAAACAGAAATAGTAAAGTTCTTCTGTGATGTATCCCTCCCTTGGGGAGGGGAGAGAGTAAAAAAATAAACACTGAGATAAGACTGACCCAGGAGCTAGGCAAATAATTCCTCTGGAATACAATGAGTTTACAAGAGTAAACATAGAGTCCTGAACACAGCTCTTTCTGCCCCAGCTCCAGGAGCACTGAGGTAAAAGATGGGCTTACTCAGTCACGGCCCCCTCGCCCCATTCCATAACTAATTAATTGAAAGTAAGCTGCGAGCTTCCTATCCTGCCACATCTTACTTCACAGCCACTGTGGGGACATCCATGACTAATAGACATGCTCAGACCTGTGCACAGACATTTGCAGCACTGTGTCAACAAGAAGTGCTGTCACTGTGATCCTGTTTTCTGAACCCCAAATTGAAGCATGTAGCCCAGCTTGTACAAGGGCACTGAGGAGGACCACAAAACAGAAAGTTCAAATCCAGCCTATGCCGACCACCCTGGGCCTGTGAATTCTGGAGCTCTGACGGGCACATGGAGAGCAACGAGGTTCAACACATACAACTGGACATTCCCTTATCGCCCTTGATGAAGAGGGCAATATTTTACTCCTACTGTCATATTGTTATTATTATTCTGCTTTGGCAGAAGAGGCCCTTTGCCTCGAGTCCTTCCTCCATCACATTCCTGGGGACAAAGAGGAAGATCCTGTTTATTTCCAATCAAGGGAGTTGATTCTGGGGTCGGCCAGAACCAGCGAAACAGGAACTGATTCCTTAAATCTCCCAACTCAGCATGAGCTGCTGAGAGAAGAACAGAGCCAGTTAACGAAGTTTTGTTAGCATTCCTAACTATCCTTAGCTGCATTTCTCTTCAGCCTGGCCTCATTTCTTTCAGGCCCAGCCCCTGGGCAGGTTAAGATGGTTGCTGCTGTAATTAATCATGCCCCGGGCTCTAGTTCAGACTTACCACATTCTGATTTCAATTAAAAAAAAAAAAAAGGGCGGGGTGTCTGCTTATGAAATGTTCTTTGTTGCTGAAGCAGCCCCCTTTCAGCCTAAAGGAAAAAGTCTAGGAAGTGCAGAAAAGGAGAGGTTTCCAGGGCCCTCTCCAAAGTACTTGCACATATGTGAGGGGATTGAGGATGATCTGTGCTCCAAAGCCCCTTCAGTATCCCCCAATCAGAACAAACTGAATTTTAAAAATATATATATTCAACACCATCATAATATCTAGCATGTGTTCATCCCATAAATGTTAATTTATATTTATTATTTACAATTATAATAATTATTTTTACTATTCTCAGTGCCTCTAGTTTTCCTTCTCTCTTTTTTTTTTGAGACAGGGTCCCAGCCTAGAGTACAGTGGTGCAATCACAGCTCACTACAGCCTCGACCTCCCAGCTCAGGTGATCCTCCAGCCTCACCCTTCCTAGTAGCTGGGACTACAGGTACACACCACCACGCCTGGCCAAATTTTTTTGAATTTTTTTGTAGAGATGGGATTTTGCCATGTTGTCCAGGCTGGTCTTAAACTCCAGGGGTCAAGTGACCCATCCACCTCAGCCTCCCAAAGTACTGGGGTTACAGGCATGAGCCACCGCACCTGGCTGTTTTCCTTCCCTTTAGGTCTTAAAAGGTTTTTTTGTTGCTTCTCTGTTAAAATGCAAACAACAGGACTGAGCATGGTGGCTCATACCTGTAATCCAGTACTGAGACCAGCCTGGGCAACAGAGTACTCTTTTGCTACAAAAATTAAAATAAAATGCAAACATTAGCTGGGCTTGGAGAATGGAGTGGGTTTGAGGAAGGTAGGGGTGGGAAAGGAGCTTTTGCTTTTCACTCCATTTCTTCTGTGATTTTGGTAACATGCATAAACTACTTTTATAATTAAAAATAAAAAAGGAGGAGATTGGCACAGGATAGAGAGAATCTACCATGAAAACTACTGTCTGCTAATCTCTTAATACTTTTTAAACAAATCCTGAAATATTTCCCAATTTACCTGGAACTCACCGTGATTGTAAGTCCTTGGCTGGGCTCGGGAGGCCGGTCCTCTCTAACTTAGAGGTGGGGGGGCTCACATTGGACTTTCAGGAGGGAAAGAGAACCCACCGACTGTCTATTTCCAGTGGGCGCACCTTTCCAGAATCCCAACTTGACTTGAAGAGGTTCTGCCACTTGGAAGTTTGGGAAGGGCTCCTCCCACCCTCATTAAAATACGGAGAACTTGGTCAGTTCAGTAAGGTGCTCCTCTGGCATCTATATTTTTCTTAAATACTCCCAAAGTAATTTGGATTTATGATCATCCAAAACTCACGGCTGTAGAAATCATCTACCCCAATTACTGATGAGGGAAACTGAGGCTTAAAGGGCAGAAGGGACTTGATCAAGGTCACCCAGCAAATGAGCAGGTGA